CGTAAATTTACACTAACCTGGCGGATCGACATTGTACATAGCATATAGATAAAAATGAACGAGGCATCCGTGTAATCATTCCCCGGGAGATTTCGATGTGACAGACCTCGAAGCCAAGAGATCGGTACAAACGGGAGCTTGGTTACCACACGGCCATCAAAGCTGCATTTCGAAAGAGTTTAAATAGGCATAAACGTGAATATCGAAGAGTTATACTCATTGTGCGAATACTAAGTTTGAATCTGTGAATACTTTGTCGCCAAAAGCACACAGCGAAGCGCCTATTCCCGAGAAAACTGAAGACAACACTGATAATCGGAGACTTATATGATAGTGTTGCAGATGGGTTTGTAACTAGATGCCACTGTGTGATGGAAACTAGAAAGGATAAACCTCATTTCACGAGGAAGCGTTTGAAGCTATCGGTCTCCAACCTACGACCTGGGACAGAAAGCCTCAAACTACATAATACCCCACTAGGTGGCATTGAAACGAACGGCTGTGAGGATGTCAACCAGCAAAGTTGGAAAGCAGGGGTATCAACTTACAACGCTTGACTGCCACCGCCTACCGCGCTCTACTAATGAGATGCAGGACAAAAGACAATCATAAGCTGAAGGGAGAAAAAACAAGATTAGTTTCGTTAAACAATTCGTAAAATCGATGATTTCCAGATCCTGTAATCGGAGTATTACGGAAATCTAAAACCATTGATCATTTCAGACCAGATGTTGTCCCATGAGCAGTAACTAAAGATACAGCAGACTCCGAATGTCTCAGTATAGTCGGGATTGGGTGTCTGGGTTTGCGGCTGGTCACCCCTCCCTTGCACCTCGCAAATGCTCCCATACGACCAAGCGTCTCAAACAGTCTCTGTTGAGGAAGCCCTACTCACTGACTTCTCGTGGCGGTGTCTTCGCACCAGGATGGGAGGACGAAAGGTGAGATCCGGGGCTATAAACGGGTTGGTGGACCAGTGGCAGTTCACCTAGAGGAGTTGGTCAAAAACCCTGATTCCAAACCAACCAGGAGGCGTACGAACCAAACACGCAACTTTCTGGTTGTGG